TTGTATGCCAATTAATTCTCTCAAGTTTCTTAATGCAAAAAAAAATGCATTCACAGCTCTCCTGGTTTATAACTGAGTACTGAAGAGTGTGAAGTTAGCCAGTATTTCACAGAAGGCATTAAAGAGAGTTCATGCTAAAGATCTCTGAGTTTTTCTTTTATTAATTACTCAGAGACAGTTTTTTCTACTTTTTATGTAAGCTACTTAAAATAGCCAATTAAAACTATGTCATTTTCTGAATAACAAATATTTATTCTTATAGATTTATTCTTGGATGAGAAATTGGAGTGTATTCTCGTAATGAATGACATCAAAGCAATCAAAGCAATTGAAGCTCTCAAATTTCGTTTTTAAAGCAATGACTTTCTTTTCTCTGAGGTCTAAACTGGAGTTATTTGTGAGGTTTACAAAAATTCAAGATAAAAGAATTGAAATAAGTTACTAGACATATACATACATAGTATGTCTATAATATGTAATTATGTATATACAGTATATTGTATGTATGTATATAATATGTGTTTATAAACAAACAAATTAATCTCTCTTGAGAAACAGTTTTTGTAAGTAAGGATATGTCCAATTTTTAGTTATACTTGGTTTCTGTGCTTTTGACCGAAATCATATAATGGCGCTCTTAAGAGCCTTGTCTCAGCAAAGCAAACATGGATACATTAAGTAGAAAGAAATATGATACCTAAATAGCCTTGCCAAATAGCTAATGAAGCATGACATGAGAAACCACGTATGAATGGAATTTTTGTAAAATTTACCATGCAGTGCATGGAATCTTTGAGTTTGGGTGATACAAATAAATCAGTAGCACGAATGACATTAAAATGACAAATATTTTTAGCAAAACATTCGTGCCGATCCAACATTCTAGTTCAATAGAGAGTATGGGGATTTCAAAGTGTCAGCTTGAGTACTTATTACCATTTTAAGAGCAGATTAATCCCCGGGAAAACATGTTGAATTACAATTTTAACTCTCACTACAATTTTCTGCAGGAAGTCATCTTTTAAATTATATACAGATATACTTGAAAGTAAAAGACACAGCTTAGAAAACCAGATTTAGGAAAAATAATAAGTGAAGAAATGAACTTGCTTTAGCACCTACTTTGTAAAGAGAGACTGTTCTCAAGTATCTACGGATATTTAGTAGCTAATATTAATGATTAAAAAATAATTTAACATTTAGGAAAAATCACTGTGGCGCTAAAGGTAGATAACTGGGCAGTTTCATCAGTTGGTAAGGTTGTCTTTCTGATGAAATGAGAAGTCACAATCTGGAAATTTCCTTTTGTTTTTAAATCCTGTAGCCTTCACCCCCTTGCTCATGCTCAGTATCCCCCTTCAAAAGTTTCAAGGAAAATTTATGGAACAGAATGGCAAGGTGTGTGTGTGCTGCAAGGAGGTGACTGGCATCTGTGAGAGCAGAGCTCAGTTTCCTACTGGTAATTGGACAACAATAGTACCATATTCCCATCCGTTCTTATTTTACTATTCAGCCACTATTATCTGCTTGTCTAAGGTCAAGAAAAAAAGAGGAGGAAAAAGAAAAGAGAGGAAGCAAACTGGTATTAATTTTGTATATTGAGTAAGTAGGAAAATACACCTGCAAAATAATAAAGGGGATGAATGTTAATTGCTGAGAGTACAGTTGCACTGCTGTAGGTAAGAGCTAACTCTAAGCTGATTGCACCCAGCTTTGTAACAACCTTTGTCAAAGCCTGGACTTGGGGAAGTCCTGGCCTTCCTTTGATTGCAGTCTCATGTGGAATCTACCTACTGAGATGAGTAAACATCATATAATTCTTTTCTGTTTGTACAGTTAATGTGGTTGGGGGTGAATGCCTTCCTCTTTGTCTGGTACTATAAGTATTATGATGAAAGAGATGAGTACATATACACCCGAAAACTCCTTGGGGTAAGTATAGCTTCTACCTCATGTAATGTTGGCTTACTAACATTTCTAGTCAGGCATTTTTAGACTTATTCCTTTTAAGATTTAAGATTGTCTAGACAACAGCATCAGCTTCACTCTGCACATTGCCAATTACTTGGTAAGAGTCTCTGAAGGCCTGCCCGTATAAAACCCAAAGCATGGCAGAAGGTTCCAGTAGCATCCTTCTCCACCAGGAACCATGTGCCATTGCTGAGCTGAAAATAGAAATCTCTTAGATGGAAAGCCTGGTTGAAGCCATCTATACAGGGGTGACACTTATGTAACAAGTGAAGTTTTCTGAGTTTTCCAAGTCAGATGGTTTTTATCACTTGTGTTCATAGAGAAGCCCTGCTCCTAGTCACATGTTGTGAAATGATCTTTAGAAAATCAGCCTCTCAATATATCTGTAGATTTTGAGGAACTTGCTCATGTGTTAGATCCTTGCAGTAGGCCAGCAGAGTGGAGTTCCTTGAGTGTCCTTGGGTCCTTAAGCAATCTCAGTTTCATTGAACTGTCAGCCCTCTTCATCACAAAGAAAAGTAATTTCAATTGCAGCCACTCCAAGAACTAATCATTTGCTATAGCATGCTGAAAATATTAACTACTTACATTAATAATAATTAATAAATATTACAAAATAATTATATTGCATTATTATAATTGTTTCTAATTTGTCATGCTGATGTATTCCTCCTGTGTAATAAGGAAACTTCTTTGGCCATTACTAGAATAACAATACAAAAATATTACATGATATCAACTTAAGTAACAGTTAATTCCATTTAAGGGGTAACAGAACTTTATCTAAAATCAAAGATCTAGTTTGAATACTGACCTCAAGTTAACGGTATGGATGCTTAAATATTTAGGATGAAGTAAACTGATATCTGAAACTTACTTTAAAATGCATCAAAAATATAAAATGGTGGTATGAGGAGATGGCTCAGTAGGAAAGAGCACTTACTGAATGAGTGTGAGGACCTGACTGAGTTGTTCAATTTACCAGAACCAGATGTGGCCAAATGTACCTATCACTCCAGTGCTGGGAAGGTGGTAGTTGAGACATGATGGTCCCTGGGGCTTGCTGGAAGCCGGTGTAGCCAAAATAAAAAGGGTGAGCTCCAGGTTCAAAGTGAGACCTCGTCTCAAGAGAATGTGGTAGAAAATGATAGCAATATGGGAGGATACCTGCTGTTTCCTGGTGGATTAGAGCAGTGGGAAGATAGATATGTGATAAAGCATGCATAGTAAAATTTAAATGGTATAGTCTGGGAAGTGAATAAGCAAGAACTCAGAATAAGTTTATGTCCAAGTCTCTTCATTTTTGAAACTGTGCTTTAAAAAATGTTGGGTTGGAGTAGAGAGCTAGTTTCAGATTAAAATAAAGATACCAATTGAATCTAGTCAGCCTATCTAGAGTTCCTTGTTTTAGAAAGATCAGCTCTTCCTCATCTATCAGCAATCAGTTGTCAGTATTCCTTTAGATAAGATTGGGGTCTGCTGTTCATTTTCCCAGCGGATTAAGGAAGAGCCGATCTTCCTAAAACAAGGAACTCTAGATACGCTGACTAGATTCAGCAGATGGACAAGCACTGGGGAATGGCTGGGGGTGCTGACAACACAGTGGACAGTAACAGGGATGACAGAGTATATGGGCTCCAGTGGGGAAAGGGGAGGCTATGGGATGGTGCACAAATTGCTTCATGATAATTAGTAGAGGTGAAAAACATTACCATTGAAATCTACCTGATGACTTTATATCCATACTCAGGTGCCAAGTGTAACCGACTGTGACTAGTAATAATCAGATACATAGAGATTAGAGACGCATGTGCAAACATCTAAGTGTTATTAGCAAAAACAAGGAGTCTTTCTGTAGGAAACAGTATATTTTAAAATGAAACTGAGATCTTTTTTAAAGGTTAAAGCCTCCTTCAATTTTATGTCTTATAGGGTTTATTCTGAGTTCAATATTGTATAACTGTTTTAATTCAACTGTGAACCTAAAAAATTTTAGGAAAAATATGTTCATCTGAAACAGATGCATCTTTGCTCTGGAAATTGTTATTGAATATGTTAAAGCTGTAATGAAATGCTTCTTCTAATCATATGGTTATTAAATAATTTAAAGAAAAGATGCCAGTTGACCCTAGAAAATCCTTTATATGAAGAACCTTCATTTCCAGATACCTTGGAGGATACAGTGTGGGACCTCATAACGGAAACCTAGGGAAGAGAGGTGGGGTATTTTGCTGATTGAAGTCACTCTGCTCCCTATCCTCTCTCTTCTAGTCAGCACTGGCTCTGGCCAGGGCTCCTGCAGCCTGCCTGAATTTCAACTGCCTGCTGATCCTGCTGCCAGTGTGTCGAAATCTCCTCTCCTTCCTCAGGGGTTCCAGCGCGGTAAGAGCAAACATTCTGAGAAGTGCCTCAAATGCTCAAAATCATCATGCCAAATGTTCCTTTTTTTTTTCCTAAGGGAAAGCAAAATACTGCTTTGTGAAATTCAACTTCTCTTGAATGTTCATGAGACAAGCCAGGCCGTATTTGGTAGCTTTATGTTCTTTAATGTTATTTGAAGGTAGGGTTCTCTGAGGCTATCAGTTAAAATTAGTCATTTAATTTAAAAAGCAGAACAAACAAATAATTTGTCCACATTAGAAATGAAGTAAATATGCATGTGTGCATATACACAAGATGTATATGTGTGGATAAACACAGGGCTATATGAATTGGACATGTGACATTTATGAATTAACCATTCAAAACTATTTTAAAGTGAAATAGAAGAAAACCTATTTTTTGTGTAAAACATCTCTAGCAGATGGAATCAATGTTCGAAACAATATAATATAAGGAAATATGACTAGAAATCACTATAACTCCAATGGTGGCACATGCCTATAATCCCAGCAATGGAAAGGCTGAGCCAGGCATATCTTAAGTTAGACGTCAGCTGAACCTACATAGTATGTTCTAGGACAGGCTCAGCTATGTACTGAGATTCTGTCTAAAACAAAATAAAAAGAAAGAAAAATAGTTGCTGGCTTCATGATGCTGAAGGTTTCAGAACTTTTTACATATTTGGAGCTCCTTTCAAATTTACTTCGACATACTCATGTGCCGCTAACTATACTATGCTAGAAGAAGAAAGATTCTGCAGGAAGAATATTTGTAACCTATGAGGTTACAGAAATTTTTACTGGTAGCATTATATGAATATGAGAATTAAGACATTTATAATTTGCACATGAATTCTAATGAATATGCTTTTTTAAAACATTACAAATAACAAACAGTGGGGCCCAAGAGATCCAAAAAATGATATAGGATGCAGCAGGAAATAAAGGTTTCATGGAGAAAATAGCCTGAGAAGGTGCATGGAAGGATAAGCGGCTAGAATGTGTAAATGAGGTGGAAAATCATGCATAAGAAGATGGCATGGGCAAAGCACAGAAAATCGTGAGGAAATCTTATACTCAAAAATAAGAAATGGTATATTACTTCCCATATTGCCCTCTATTGTGTTCTATTTAAAGAGTATTTATTGGGCAGGGGGTGCAGGTCTGTGCATATGAAGGAAGCATGAGGCTCTGGGTTCAATCCCCAGTTCCAAAGGGAAAAGAAAGATAGAAAATATTTATCTAATGTATTAGTTGGTGGATATTTAGATTGATTCTCTATTTTGCTATCATGACTAAAGCTGCTATGAGCATTTGTGTAATTGAAGAAGGAAGATGGAAATTGTCAGGGAGAAATATAGAAACAGTGCATAACATTTGGCAGATTTAACTTGGGCCAAGGACAGACAGCATCCTGAGCTTGATTTGGGGATATTGCTGTATAACTGACTGAAACCATAGTATCAGCTAAAAATGTTTTACTTTGAATTTATTTCCTATTCCTGACCCCACCGAAAGGATTTCTAGGAAAAATTAGGGAATAGTCCCTTAGTAGGTTGCATTCCACTGGCCCTTCAGTGACCACAGACTGTTTTTTCTTTTAATACAATTTTTGTTTCCTATTGTCAGCCTTTTAAAAATAGTTTTTAAGGGGCTGGGAAGATGGCTCAGTTTGCAAAGTGCCTGCTATGAAAACACGAGGACCTGAGTTCTGATCCTGAGCACCTAAATAAAATTCGGGTTTGGAGGTGCTATATATGCCTGTAATCTCAGCACTGGGGAAGAGGAGACAGGAAGTTCCCTGAAGCTTGCTGGCCAGACTGTCTTGCAGAACTGGTGCATTCCAGATTCAGTGATAGACCTTGCCTCAAAAACAAAGTGGAAAGCAATAGAGTGTCTTCACACTCCACATCCACCTTTGACCTTCACATGAACATATACACACACCCATATACCATGCACACATACACTTAAAACTACTTAAGTTGCAATCATTTTGAAGGAGAGTGGCCAGAGAACTACTTTCATGAGAATATAGGAATTGTAAAGGGCAGGTGTCTAAGATAAGAGGAAAACTGGGATTTTACCAGAAAATTAGAACCTTAAAAGTATAGCTGAGGAGTTAATACTTCATTTGACAATCCCAGAATTTATGAAGGGGACTGAAGGTAACTATTATTCACAGGTTATGACTTGTCTTTTACTTTGCTTCACTTCTCCTGGTCTTCCAAATTCATGTTAGTCCAAAGAAGGATTTTTTATTTAAGAATATGCATCAGTCAGTTTGCTAATATAGGACTGAATAGACTTCAACTTTTATATTACCTAACTCATCACACAATACCATTTCATATTAAAAACACTCTCCAGACTGCATTTTTGCAAGTTTAATTTTATATTTAGTGTTGGGGAGAAAAGGTAGCTCAGTAGTACAGCATAAACTTGGCATGCAGTAGGCCCCGTGTCTCATCTCCAGTACTACAACTCTGGAATTGACTGAAGTGACTCTAACATATTTACTTCAGTAGCAACATAACAAAGCAAACAAACACAAACAGAAGAAAAATGTTGGCAAATACGACATTCTGCAAAGAGTCATGCCTTCCACCTCTTGAAAATTCTGCAATGAGGCTCTTTGAGCCAATTCAAAAACTTGATATGCCACAATGTTGTCCTGCAAACTGACAGCCAAACCAACCAAAGCAAAGCAGCAGTACTCAGTATTAGACATTGATCACAAGGCTTTCCAAATAATCTCATGAATGGAAGAATCTACAGGGAAGAAATTCCACTGGATTGAAAGGCTGATTGCTGAGCCACCCATCTTTGATATAGTACAAGAACCAGATGAAGAGTTACTAAATGAAGTCCTTGCACAGTAAATTTTTGTTTTTATGGAGACATGATTCTGTTTTTTGTTTTTGTTTTTGTTTGTTTGTTTTTTCAAATCCTCCATACTCTTGTGTGAATGCTTTCTGTTTAGAGGAAGTAAAGCCTGAGAAACAGGCAGTGTTTTCAGCAGGATGGCCAGTTAAGAAATCCTTGTTACCCCACAACCCTAAATTGCACTGCCTTGACCACCCATGTCCCATGAGCAGCACATGTTGTAATGGCGGCATCTTATGGCCCAGAGACAAATATTCAAAAGAGGATCTTTAATGGCAGGAGTAAATTAGAGAAAAGCCCAGCTCTGTAATCAACTATATCTTTACACAAATGAACATATTTCCTCCCATTTATTTATTTATTTATTTACTTATTTATTTATATTTTTTAATTAGCATAAAAGTAGCAGTTTTCCATATGGTATTTTCATAGTTGGTTTTGGTTGATCACCCTCCCTAGCAGCTCCTTTCCCACATCTCTCTGTCCCCATCTTTCCCTCTTCTACTTTCTTACCACCTGTCCTGTTACCCTTGCCTCTTTCCCTCCCTTGAAAGAAACATTCTTTTATAGACATGATAAATCCATATGTCCTTCCTTCCAAGATTCCCAGTCTCAAATGTGAAATTTGCAAGTGAAGCTACTTTTCCAGTTGGGATTAAAATGGCTGAGTGTGCTGTCAGCAATGTTGGAAATAACAGTAGCCACTCACTGAAGTTCCATAGAACTCATGGCAAGTGGGTGAAATGGGAATACAAGTAAATGGGAGTGTTGAGATTCAAACCGAAGTCATTTTGCCCCCAGAACCCAGTTTCTTTTTTATGTATCAAGTAAACATCTTTAAACTGTCCCGTGGCTCTGTTTCATTTGAGTGTTTTCACCTTCTGAATAACATAGTGTAGACATGATAAGGAAGTTATAATTTCAAGGTCTTATTAATGTGACATTGTGCTAACTAAACAGCCACATGATTTTGTTCAATTCTAGATGTCTGAATCATTCAAACTTTGCTTTGGACTTCTTTAAGTTACTTGGAGGAAAAATCCCTAGGGCTTTGCAGTTTTCTCCCTGCAAACAAACAAGCAATTGTGGTAAAGGCACTCAAGCTTCTTTGTTAAGGGCTATCGTAAAAGGACAGAGTTCAGCACCCAGAAGTCACAGACGAACTTTTAATAACCCTACCTTGATGTGTAGAAGCTAAATTCTAACTCATGACAGTCTTCAGATCAGAAAGAAACAGGAAGGTGAAAAGGTGAGATCTTTTGCCTTATATAGTCCGAGAGTCAGGACCTCATCTTGGCTCTTTCTCTAACCATGTGGCCTCCCAGAGCAAGTCCCTTGAGCTTTCTGTCTCACAGACCTTTAGTGGGGAGACAGGTCAAATAATGCAAATTTAAACCTAAACATGCTCTCCTAGGTGGGGCTATAGCTCAGTGGTGTAAAGCATTTATGTAGCACATGGAGGGCCATGAGTTTCATCCCCAGTGTTGAAAAGGAAAGGAAAAAAGAATGAATGGATATACTTTTAGTACAAATATGCAACTTGATTAAATTTGTCAGTTAGTGAGTTGTCAGCCAATAAATGTTTGTTGAGGCCCATACACACTAATCACTGGAGATATGTAGTAATAGAGAGGCTGAATAGTCACAAGGGCAAGGAGCTCAGAGTCTTATGAAAGAGATATAGAATAAACATGGGGTTTCAAAATTATAAATAAAGCCACACAAATAAAGTGGTGTGTTTCATATATTTTTCTTCTTACCATGGTGCTTTCATCTTCTTTTCTTGAGTTCTGTGGGTTTATTTAAGGCCAGAGCTTCACGTTTCACCCAAAATCTTTATAATTATCTGATGCAGATATAATAATAGACGTTTGGTAAGATCAAGTGCACATAAAATAGAGCTACAAAAGTTTACAGGACACCCCATTAAATATGTGTTTTTCTTTTAGTTCCACTTCTCATTATTTTGAAACTCGGTTTCAATAGAGCATAGAAATTTACCACGGTGTCCCAACAATTGCCCTTGCACTATAATGATAGTTTATTGAAATTGCGCAAGGCTCTTCGTGACAGTAACAGAGAAACTTCCCTTTACAAGTCAATGGGCAAAAGCAAAGAGGTAGTCCAGTAAATAAGCTATGGGGCATGATGAAAGTTTGGTTATTTGGGAGGTACCTGGCAGTAATTCAGAGGTGACTCAAACCATAGAAACAGTATGTATATGATAAGGCACAGAAAACGTCCAGGCAATCAAAAGCAGTAAAGCCCTTCCTTCCAATTTACCAACTGAGCATCCCGGCCCATTTTTCAGGAAGTGGTGAGAAGATCATTTTCTTGAAAGTTCAGAATCAGCATGACTCGTGGCTTCTCTTTAGCTTTGTTGACCATTTCTGACCAAACTGAAGCATGTAATCAGGAAAAATGAAGGATTGCAGCCATCGTGTTCGACCTGTTCTACCGACTCATTAGTTTTCCCTTTAATAAAGTGTGTTTTGCATTAACTAGCTTTTTAAAACTTACCTATTAAAGTACAACAGCATCCTTGAAAGAACACCATATTTCTTTGTCATATGTCTCCATTGTTCTGACACTGTGTTTATTTTTTCTAAGTCTTTACTGCAACAGCCATTAAGGAGCATCAGCATCTACTATTTCCAATCTTTGATCATTGATGTTAATGGTGATGACAAATATAAGACTATGGCTATGGGGATGGCATAAGGAGCACAAATAAAACACTTCTTTTCTCTTCAAATTCATTATGATGCAGGAGTTAGTGAATTTTCCCCTCAAGCCCTCCTTCAAGGAAGTAAGAAATAAAACAGTGCTGAATATAGATAGGTTTAATCATCTTCTTTTCAAGGCAGTGAAAGTGTAATCCCTCTGTGTAACCAAATAATTATTAAAGAAGATTTTAAAAGTACATAGCATATTGATCTTCATGCAGGATGATTTCCCGCTTCCTGGGAAGCCAAGCTTAGTAGCTAAAAAGTTACTCAATGATACAAAATAATATCAGATGGGGAAGAACTACAGAGATTATACAGGTGAGGAAACTATCATACTGGTACTATCATCATGGTAAGCCTGAGACCCAACATAGGTATATATGAAAGCAAAACAATATCAAATGTAGTTAATTCAGTGCTGTTTTCAAGTCTACAAATCCCCATCCTGTGATTCATAAGATAGCAATCCAATTCACGACTCTAGTTAGGACTCTATTAATTATCAACTGCTGGGCAATAAATTGCCGTAAATGCATTGACTTAATACAGCCCTCGTTTATAAGTTTAAAATTGTGTAAATCCAAAGTCCAGCACCCTGTGGTTGGCTTCTCTTCTCAGAATTTCATGAGACTGAGATCACAATGTGTTCTAGGCTAAGATGAGATGGTTGTTCCTGGAAACTCTGGATAAAAATCTTCTTCTGAAAGTCTAGGGCATAGTTCAGTAGTAGAGTACTTCTCTAGCATGCACAAAGCTCTGGGTTCTATCCTCAGCTCCATAAAACAACACAAATAACAAACCAAAAAGACCCTCTTCCAATCTCCTCAGCAAAATTCAGTTCATTGCAGTTGAGGTCTCAGGTTCCTCTTTCCTTGCTAGCTGTCATCCAGTGACCACTCTGAGATCCTAGAGGAGCCAGTATTCTCTGCCATGTAGCACCTCCGTCATCCAGCCAGCAACAGTACCTCCACTCCTTGTATTTCAAATCTCTGACTTCCTTCACCTGGGATTTGTTGACCAAGATTTTAGGAATTTATGGAATTTGTTCAGGTCCACCCAGAACATCTCCCTCTTCTAGTCGACTTGGGACTTTACATTTGAAAAACCTCTTTTGTCAAATAATGCAACAAAATCATACATCATATCTACAAGTCCTATCTAATGCCAAGGGGGAAAGATCATATAAGTCATGACAAATGATCCTAGAATTCTGCCTACCACAAGGACTCCTAAAAACTAGAGGATATGGCAGTTGGAAAACAGGAGGCTATTTCCTTAAACAACTAAAGGAGTTTCCTGCCCTGATTGAGCCCACTGAAAAAGGTTGGTGGTAGCTGAATGTTAGTATACTCTCTATTGGCTTCTTTCCCTTTTAGAATTTTGTTCTCCTACTGAGTCCTCACTTTGAGACAAAATAATTATGATCATATCTTTGCATTTGATTTGATGGAAAATGACATGGAGCTTTAATAGACAAATAACAAACTTGAATTCCAGACAAAGTAAAATTTTAAATTTTGTCTATAATGGAGAAATAATACTTTATTGCATTAAGTGATGGGTAAACTACCCAGATCACAGAAAGCACTTGATAAGCTTTCCTTCCTTTATCTGGAATCTCCATTGTCTTCCTTACTAGTATTTTTGTCACGCCAAGAATGATTGTTTTAAAAATATTTTATTATTTTTATTTTATACGTGTAAGTGTGTTAGCCTCCATGTGGGTGCTGGGAATCGAACCCAGATCTTCTCCAAGATGTGCCAATGCTCTTAACTGCAGAGCCATCTTTCTCGAGCCCAAGAGTCATCTTTTAGGATTTAAATACCTTTTTCTCCTTAGGTGTAGCTAACTGAGAAATAGAGAAATGGGCACAATTTTCATGGAATAATAGTTTTCTATAAAATTAAAATATTTTATTATAACTCCCTTGTATAAATTGAATACAACATTTAGAATGAGATGTTTATTTTATAATAATTTAAAATTTTTGAGAATTTCATACATGAAATCATTTCCATCCCTCCCCATGCGCCCCTCTAATTCCTCCCATATTCCCTCCAATCCCTCTCAATTTCTCATTTTCTTCCTTGATTATTATTGTTAAATATACATATATACATTTATAAATATATATTTATAGTTCCACCAGTCTGGTACTTTTAATTACCATGCACTATGTAGATAAAGCTTAGGCAAAACCCAAACATTCTCAGATAAACCTTGGCTAGACATATATTCGTTCCTTGAACTAGTTGCATGTATAATTTGTCAGTAGGTTGTTGGACTAATATGGTTCCCTCTGTTTTTTTAAACTAGCTAGGCATTATTTATCTCTCTCACTCTCTAACCCTTCCACCATGGTTTCCCCATTTAAAGTGCCCCTATTTTTCCCATTTCTCCCTTAATAATACCCTTCTCCTATGGTCCCTCCTCTCTTGAGCCCCTTCTTTCCCTTTATCTTCAAGTTTCCTTGTATAACTCTCCCTCCCCCCTCCCATTAAAATGACCCCATGTTGTCCATATCTCCCTTATTAACACCTGTTTCCTACTGTTCTTCCCTCTTGGATTCTTTCTTTTCCTTTACCTCCCTGGTTCCTTTTCATTATCCTGTCCTTATCATGTATCCTGTCTGGATACACACTCACTTATAAGGGTTTGGTGTTAGGATCCATATATGAGGAAGAACATACGTCTTTTGTGTTTTTCTGAGTCTGTGTTACTTCACTTAGTATAACAGTTTCCTGTTCCATCCATTTACCTGAAAAATTCATGATTCCATCTTTCTTTACTGCTGAGTAGGACTCCATCATATAAATGAACCACATTTTCATTATCCAATGATGAATTTATATTCATACTCAGGTGCCAAAGATCTCAGAAAGTAATTGACTGTGACTAGTAATAATCAGATATACAGAGATTAGAGATGCATGTGCAAACATCTAAGTGTTATTTGCATTAAAAATGAGTTTTACTGTATGAAACAGTATATTCTAAAATGAAATGGAGATCTTTTTGAAAGGTTAAGACCTCATTCAATTTTATGTTTTATAGGGTTCATACTGAGTACAATAATGTATAACTGTGTTAATTCAACACTGTGAACCTAAAAATTACAGCCAATTTTGAAAGAGATACTTCTTTGCTCTGGAAACTGTTATTGACTATGTCAATGCTGTTGTAATGAAATGTTTTTACTAATTATGTGGTTATTAAATAAATTAAATATATATATATATACATATGTCTAATGTACTGAGTCCATTTAGAGACACTCATGTGTACATGTGTTTAGGATTGACCATTTGAAATTACATAATTTATCAGGGACAGGGACCTAGTCTCTACAGAAAACTGTTTTGCCTTCCCTCTGCATCCATTGATTGCCTGTAGCTCTTCATCTAGAGGTGGGACCCCATTTAGAGATGAAATGGGTGAAAATTCCCCCATCCACATTGTCATAGCAACTAGAATCAGTTATTTATATTATCTAAGACATTTTTAGAATTTCACTCTCTAAAGTACTCTAAATTTCTGTGGCAATACATTTAGATTTGAGAGCAGAGCTGCTAGGACAAGTAATTGAACAATTTACAGGAGAATAAAACTCTATTGCAGCCATCAACTAAGTTTTCATTTCTCTGCTTTGAGCACTGGCTTGACTCCAGATTCAAATCTACATGCTCTAGCATATGCAGGTAGGACAAGTACACTAAAATGTGTATCAAAAAACTATTTTTAATGTCATGGTAATCTTGTAAGCTGTGAAATACTAGAGTATTTATACAAGCTGCTGTCTGATTGTCCAGATTTAAATTGCAAGATAATTATCTTTGTTTCTTCATCTGTTAAATAATAATCATAATGGTCCCTCCCTAATAAGACTGATGTAAGAATCAAGTTAATACACATAAACACTTAAAACAGTTCCTTACACAAGTTCTTGGTGAATGTTAGTTATTGTTATTTGTGTTATTACTATATGACAACAATCTTCCTTGTGATGTCCCTGACCTACATGGGAGAGTGAACTCTCTTCTCCCTTCCTATAGTGTGTATAAACAATAGTGTTTCTGAAAAGCTACTCACTTATTGTAGAACTGTTCACTTACCTTTGCATAAAAATCAATAAAAATATGCATTAAAAAAGAATATACAAGGAAACTGTTTAGGGCATAGACTTCTGGTTAAGAATTTCTACCATTCTTTTTCTCTTAATGCAAAGTGTTGCTCAACAAGAATTCGAAGACAATTGGACAGAAACCTCACTTTTCATAAAATGGTGGCATGGATGATAGCACTTCATACTGGTAAGTTTATTAATACTTTTGAAATTGCAAAGAAAAGTTGTAACCAGAGAGTCTCTACTTTTCTTGACTACATATGCATATCAGATTTTACAGGCCCATTATGTAGTGGTCAGATGAGTTCTGATGAAAAGCATTCAAACTCTTTTTCTGTTTCCTGATGTTGGGATTAATTACTAAGATCTTTTTGAACCTTAGGATCTTCCCATACAAATTAAATTACAATATGCGGTTTCATATCAATCTTGCTGTACTCACCATTTCCTAAAATTTTGGTATCAAAAATGATTGTTATTAATACATTTATGGTAATTTTTATTCATTATACAAAAATTTCTTTGTTACAAATGTGGACTTTGTGGATCTTTGCACTAAACCTAGAGAAATATCAACCATAAATTGAAAATATCTCAAGAAAGTCTTTCTCAGCTACATGCCCTCATTGTTACTACCATTACCTTATCCTATGCATGCATATAATAGGGATACAAATTTGAATTTACATGTAATCTATTGTACATTATTATCATCATTATTATGGTTAGAGTATTGGTGCAAGAAAGGATGTACCTAGGACGCTTATAAAATCTTTATGAATTCACTTAACTAAAACATGCGCCAGAAAATAGAAACACACAGTAATGAAAAAAACAGCATTTTACTCTGCTCTTAGAGAGGCCATCTCTTACCTGACTCAAGTAGGCTTAGTTTAGAGCCGTTTAACTGGATTCCTCTTCTACAAGACTGTGTAGGTCTTTTGACCTGTGGCAAAAGAAACAGTTCAAAAGAAATGTATGATAATTTCCTGTTAGATAGTAGCATACTATAACCATTTAAGAATTCAGACTTGTATACCAAACTCCTTAGATTCAGTTCCTAATTCAGCTACTTCTTCACAGGGTGACCCTTGGTGATATTTTTAAGGCAATCTATGTCATAGTTCCCCCATCTTCTATGGGCTGATATTAAATGAATTTAGAACACTGCATTAATGTAAGCATTAAAGAATTGCAAATCACTTAGAGCAGTGTCTGGCACCTGGGAAGCCCTGTGCAAGTGATAATGACATAATGATTTAATTATTGTAATGGATTTTTTTTTTTTTTGCTTAAGAGATTTGTGCTTATGACCATTGTGACAAACATAACTGAAGTGATCACACCACTCTGTGGAGGTGATGAAGCATCACATGAGTGCTTTTCTTGTTTGAGCACAAATGTGTTAAGAAAACAGAAATGATAAGAATACATCAAAATCGCTCAGAGGCCAAAGTTTTTTTGTAGAAACTTAGAAATCGATTGGACCTTCATGAATGTTACATCAATACTTCATTTTATAAATGATGAAACCTGCACCAGAGGGGCTACATTATTTTTTCCACAGTCACAGAAGTAGAAAGGAGGTGATCCACTAGGACTCCCTTGTTTCTCTGGACATCTGGACCCAGTTCTTGTATGCAGCATCCTAGGCCATCCCTTTGTTTCCCTATGATAGTCATTGGCTGTGGTCACAAATCCAGATTTCAATAATTTTGTGCATATCTTTTACCCTCTTTGTGTCTCTTCTCTGCCCTCTTTAGTGATTCACACCATTGCACATCTGTTCAACGTGGAATGGTGTGTGAATGCCAGAGTCAACAATTCTGATCCATATTCAATAGCACTCTCTGACATTGGAGACAAAGAAAATGAGACTTATCTCAATTTTGTTAGAGAAAGAATCAAGGTAAGCTTCTCCTTCTTTGTTTCAGATGCTTGCTGGACTATTAAAACAGAGAACTTTGCTTGAGTGTAAAACTGAGTGAAAAACTCTATTTGCCAGAAAAATAAACAATGAGAATTCACTAATGATTAGAATGTAAGTTTAGAGAAAATGTCTCCCACGCTCCTGATTCCATGTGTGTATCCTGATTCCAGATATTTTCCAAGTCCTTAGGCTCTCCTGTGAAAAAGCTTGTGTGCAGAGCCTGGAGTAACTCACACTCAACCACAACTATGTACACAGGTCAAATAAAGTGGGGGGTTCATGTCTGATCAAAGTTGGGATTACTGCTTGCCGTGGGCAAAAGGGATCCCATAACATGAGGAAGTCTGAGTGGGTATTTCCAGAGGATGTTAGAAGGGGCTTGCTATGAGACTTGGGCTTTTTTTTTTTTATTAGATGGTTGAGGGAAGGTTTAAGGAAGCTGGGATTTTCTCTGAATCAGATATAAGAAATTGAGGCTAGTTCTACGATCACTATCTTAATTTTTTTTCTAAGAGGCAGAAAGAACAGATCAGGGCTAAATCTATATAATATGTGAAAGCAGCAGTCAGCCAGTTTTGTCTAGTCTAGAACATGATTTTTGGAACAGTATTGCTCTTATCTTGTCCTGTTGCAGAGGCAAAGTAACCTTGTTTAATGTTGGTGCTATGAAATTAATTGTGTACAGTAGGGAACACCCAGGTTAAGGGTTTGGTGTTAGAGCACACAGCACTGATAGCTGTCAGTGGTGCTTTGCTTCTTTCTCATCTACAACATCTAAGGTGTGGTGTATGTGCACGTGTGCGCGCGCGCTAATTGTTAATTTTTGGTCCTTTGGGAGTAACGTGGCAGTCTTTCAAGGGCAGCCATGAGGGTATCCAGAGGGAAGAACCTCTTGCATTCCATTAGATATTGAAGCTTCTTAGATTCAGCGAGAAGCTCCAGGAGATTTTCATGTAGCCAGTGGCCTAGGAAGATATTTAAATTGCATTATTATCCATCAAATTTCAAACACATTCTTTTATGTTTAGAAAAATAACTATAAGGAAAAAAAATCTTCATTTTCCCTAAATTATTATCCTCAACACTGACATGACATGACAAAAGCTTGCCTGATTTATCAGTTCTATGATACGTTGTCCGATAATCTTCCTTTCTATTGTTCATTGTTTGCCTGATGTCTAAGGATGACAGTTTGAACAGATTGGGTGAACTGACACTGTGATGCTCTGCCCAGTTCTCCTTAGGTCAGTTTTACTGGATCTGAGTTCACTCAGAGTGCTTTCATGTTCACTGACTTATACCTATTTCCTCCTCTAAGGACCTTCCTGCAGCTACTACTATTCCTTTGCCCACAGGATGAGATCTGAAAGCATCAGGACAGTTACCTCTCCCTGAGCATCCTTTAGCCAATAACTATTGATGAGCACAGACCATGAAACTCAGCTTCCTCCCCCTGAGTCAGCATAAACCCTGAGGTATAGCTTACCCTCAGACTAGTGTGTATATCCTGATTCTCTGATCCTTATTTAATAGTGCTCTCTGAGATTGAAGACAAAAAGAAAGACATAGTCTTACAGGGGCAACTTCAGCTTGATCCTGTGCATATATATTGGAGTATCCATAACAGCTAACTCTTTATCACCTCTGCTCCAAGCCCTCCTGTCAAAGGCAAGAGACCTAGCCTATGTATTTCACCAGTTTTATTTTCAGTTTCCTGGAAATAGTGATAGTGAGATCATCTATAGGGCCAAGTTAAAACTACCCCATGTGAGACTTTGTCTGTGGTTGACTCCTCAATGATGTAAGACTGTTTAAATTTGGAAACATCTACTCTAACACCATAACTCTCTGTGAGGAATGATTAGGATATTCGATGGAGTGGGGGATACCTTATTTAACAGCTTTTTAAATGGGCAGTTCTACAGCTGTCAGCCTAGAATTAATGTGTGTGTGTGTGTGTGTGTGTGTGTGTGTGTGTGTATTTCTGTTTTACAGAATCCTGCAGGGGGCCTGTATGTGGCCGTGACTCGGTTGGCTGGCATCACGGGAATTGTTATCACACTGTGTCTCATATTAATTATCACATCCTCCACCAAAACCATCCGGAGGTCTTACTTTGAAGTGTTCTGGTACACACACCATCTCTTTGTGATCTTCTTCATCGGCCTTGCCATCCATGGAGCTGAGTGAGTTTTGTAACTTCATAGTCAAAGACTTTAGGGCCTTCACTTTCCAAGTGTGTTGCCTAACTAAAGGCACATTGACTTTCTCACTTTTGTGTGGTCAGTTGGTCTGCTGAGGGAATGTGAGAAGACAGTAGAGGTCAGTTCAATAGAAACAGTGACATTTTTACTTTGTTGCATTTAGTTGTTTTATAGTGCAGTTACTTAAAGAAAGCTTTATACACCTATTGTATAAAATATACTAAGAGTACTAATAGGATCTTAGATATCTACCATGTTGCTTCTGTGACTTAATCACAAGTAGATTAAACAAAATCCCCAAGTAGAAGAGTTAATGATTAATCATTTAAAAGGATTTTCTGTTTTTTAATTGATTTTGACTTAAGTCAACAATAATTCTCTGGTTGCCTACTGTGTATGAGACCCTCTCAGGAACATGGGCTTTGCTTCCAGACTTTCTGGTATAATAAAGTTAATAATTAACTTCTGAGCACTTGTTCTATGTCAGGTTCTGTGCAATATTGATACTCAGTGTCTCATTCAATCCCTCTAATGTGTAGATGGGGAACAGGACAATAAAAGTGGTAAAATATGTGGGTCATGCCACTCCCAGCTGGCATGTGGCCTAGAGCACAAGTGGTTTAGAGCGAATGCACTCATAGAGACACACATTACACGAGTGTACACTTGGAGGACTATGCTTTAATATCAAGTTTCCTTTCTCTACTCTTTCACACAACCTACACACAAAGTAAGGTCCAGGAAAGTTCCACGGTGAGTATAGGGTTCCAGGAAACTAGGCGTGCAGGCTCAAGCACTCTTTTCAGAGCCACAAAAGCTAGGGGTGACCAAGATTTGAGAGTAAAAAGGGGAAGGATGGAGAGACTGAACCTTGGATAACTTATGGGTGTGTTCTTAAACTACTTCCTGATTCTAAACCCTGATAAACTCTTTCTAAGCACTGATAAAACAGTAGAGATGAAGAATCTCCTGACTCTCCTAGAAGAACTGAATATCTTTAAGCAGAATTTGCTCACAATCCAGCTATCTCAGAGAATCCTACAAAAAAGAAGGAATTTCTTCCCCTTTTAATAATCCCACCAATTCTTGTTTGTATAGTACCACAGATATCTGTCTTCCTTTGGAGCAGAGGTTATTACTTTGTTCTCCATTTAAGGAGTATTTGCTATTTACACTGGTTAGAGGATTGCTTACAGTTTCATAGTAAGATGACAGTTAAACTGGAATTGAAATTCAGGTTTGACGAACTCTGTTCCTATTATTGAGAGGACAAGGAGAAATATCACGTTGCTTTCTCTCATTCATTCCCCACATGGAGTCAGGAATCAAGAACTTTAATAATTATTATTTCTCAGACTACTGTATTACACGTGACTTCTTCACTCATCATGTGAATTGACTACTAAATTCAGTGTTTAGTGAGGTAATATTATATTATACCTGTTTTACAGATGAAGCAACTGAAGCTCAAAAGAAGTCCATGTTCCCAAGATTCCCAAACTATGAATGAGTAGAACTGAGATTTGAACTCAAGAACTATCCAGGTCAAAAACAGACTTGTTTTCAACAAAGCATTCTGCTTTTGTACCTTCCAGTAAAATTGCACTGATGCTATCGCCTCCCCCAGTTTACTATACGAATTCACAGAGATACTTAGTCAATAGTGCCTTTCCTCAAGCCTAGTCATAATGAGTACTCATACATGCTAATTTTCTTCATCAAAACCTGGGAATAGAAAGGGGTTGTTAGTGACCCTGAATTCAACCATTCTCAGAATACAGTGAATGATATGTTAAATTTTAGGTTCCCAAAACAAAGTTTTGCAAGTGAACTTCCCCGTTTCTTCTCTTAGTATACTCTGAAGACCATGGAATTTGCATCCTTTGAAATCAACTTAACTTTGTACCTCTGTCTTTTTATCACCACTAACCCAAAATTGTCTTCTATTTAGTAATTGCTTAATTAATACTTACCAAGTTGACGTAAAGGGACTCTAAGTGCTTTAAAGAACACATTACCAGTGGCAATGTCTGTCAGAATTATATAGTCCTGTTTAAGTTAAATCTCAGAAAGACCTCCACCCCTTGACTGAATTTAAATAATTTTTGCAACATAGTCTTGATGTGTAGACAAGGCAGGCCTTGGAACCCTCAAAGTTATGATCTTCATGACTTAGCCTCCAGAGAGCAGAGATTACAGGTGTGCATCACTACTCCAAGCCTAGACAATTTGGAGGCCCACAAATAAAACACTCTGCTAGTCTCAAGAGAACTATATATAATTCTGTGGTTTGTCGACTATAAAAATGCATCATATGTATGCTCTTATGAAATTATATTGGCCCCTTTAATCTTTGGTTATACTTCCCTTTTGGGTGTTTAAGGACATACAATTGGACCAGATAAACTGATTTGTTTTTACTCTTGAGGTCGTTTGAGGATCTGTTCCTCAGGGGTCCCATGGGCTTGGGAGGAGCCCCTGGCTCCTTTCTTTTACCAGTTCCATCTATGTGAAGGTAAGTCAAAGGTCCTGCTCGACCATTGTTGGCTTCTCTTGGAAGCATGGAGGAAATGATTCCTCCGTGTTGACCCTCCTCTTTATAGACTGGACACTGGTTCAAGTCCATCTGGTGGGGTCTCCTTGGCCTCCTTGATCAAGAGGTCAGATGACCCACCACCATTACAGGACATTTTGCGAGATGCTCATAGTCCCTGGGAACTAATCGATCTAGGAGGGCAAGGAGCAAAAAGTGTCCTTTGTGTTCCTCTGACCCAATTAGTATAGATCTCAAGGTATGTCTGTTAAACATCCAAGAAGGTTAGTTCCACCATTCTGGCATTTTTAATTACTGTGTGTCCTGCAGATAAATCTTGGGTAATGACCAGTTGGTCTCAAATAAACCTTATCTAGAGATATATTTCTTGATCTGTTATGTATAATTTGTCAGTAGATTGTAGGAATAATATGGTTCCCTCTGGTTGACAAACAGCAAAGCCAGACAGGCAATACCTTCAGTCGAGTTGTTGGCCAGGATGGATAAAGGCTCTTCCAGACAGTAACCCAACATACTACTGGAAAAATGAACAGCAGACCCCAATTCTATCCAAAGGAATACTGACAATGGATTGCTGTAGATGAGGAACAGCTGATCCTCCTGGAACAGGGACCTCTGGCTGACTAGATTTACCAGAAGGGCAGATAAGGGGGAATGGATGGGGGTGCTGACAGCACAGTGGACAGTGGCAGGGATGGCAGAGTATGGAGGCTCTAGTGGGAGAGGAAGGCTGTCTATCTGATGAGTTTGTATTCATGCTCAGATGCTGAGGAGCTCAGAAGGTGGGCGACTGTGACCAGTGATAGTCATGTATATAGAGATTGGAAATGCATGTGAAAACGTCTCAATGTCAATTGACTTGGAATGAATTTTTCTGTATGAAACTGTGTGTTTTGACAACAAAGTGGAGATCATTTTTAAACGTTGGAACCTCATTTAATTTTATGTCTTATAGAGTTTATAATGAGTAAAAGATTATACAAGTGTAATAAAAAGAATAAAATATATTTTTAAAATGAGAAAAAAAATGCATCATAAAGAGAAGAAAGGTAGTCTATGCCTTGCTGGCCACAACTTTGGCTTGCAGGGATGTCCTTGCTGAAGGGGAATTTTTGCTGATTTGCACAAAGGCCCTCTACAGGTTAGCCAGTGGCCTGTTACAATTGCCAATGTTCTGGGTTTTTTATGTTTGTTTGTAGATGAAAACTATACTTGAGAAAAGCACCTTCTCCTTTTAAAAGGACATACACTGGTAATCCAAGACTCACACTTTATAATGTTATGTGTAGATATTCTTTGTGTCATTTTTTGTTTATAGTCAAACATTTTCTTTCTCTTACTCTGATTTCTTTGTGAGGATAAGATACTACTTAAAAAGGAGGGCCCCAAGTAGGATACTTGAAATACGCCCAAAATTGGGGTTGAGGGTGTAGCTTATTGGTAAAGTGGTTACAAAGCATACATGAGATCCTGGATTTTGAAGAGTCTAAAATATGCAAGCAGCTTAATTTCTTGCTATTGAATACTGTGGACTTACATTTTGCTTTTTTTTTTGTTTGTTTTGATTTCTCCCAGACGAATTGTACGTAAGCAGACTAACCATAGTATGGAAAAGCACAATATAAAATTCTGTGAAGACAAAATCTTAGATTGGGGAAAAATAAAGAATTGTCCAATACCAGAGTTCTCTGGAAACCCTCCTATGGTATGCATTACATATTTCTATTTTTATTCGTGGCAATCTTAAGAAGCAGATACAAATGTCATAGAGCTGTCCATTAAGAACATCACAAATCTTCTAGAGGGCTGCATCTACTTTTCTTATTATATGTACTGACTAGAACTGTTTCTCAAAAAATAAGTTTTGTATTGCTCTGTTGTCAGCGTCCTTGCATGGAACTTGGAAAAAAGTCTTTTAAAAAATATTTTATTTATTATTATTTGTATTTTATGTGTATGAGTGTATATCTTGTATGTAGGTAAGTGCATACTTGTTGTGTGATGCCCACGGAGGTCAGAAGAGGGAGTCATCAGATTCCCCTGGGGCATCAGATTTCCCCGGGGCTGGAGTTACAGATGGTTATTAGCTGTCACATGGGTTCTGGGAATCAAACGGAGGTCTGTAAGAGCAGCCAGTGCTCTTAACCACGAACCTTCTCTCTAGCCTCAAAGCAGTGTTGTTAAAATTGCTCTTTGGGTTTAAGAGGTACTATCTTTTTTCTTCTGGATATGAGGATCATAATAATAGTAGTTAATGATTATCAGAGATATACATAGGGATTCTGTTCTGATCTGAGTTGTATAACTCAAATAAATCACCCATAAGGAACTATGAACCTCCTTGGGTACAGGAAGTCAAGCATTCTATATGGCTTTCAGAACTGTTAAGAAGAATTGATGAAATAGCAAATTGTTTTGCCTTTCAGTATTGGGAGATCCAATCTATCAGGCATGACAGGAGCTGGACATCCAGAATCACACAAACACCAAATGGCAGTCACCTCATGTTAAGACAGGGCAAGCAAGGGGAAACATGATAAAATGCTTACTTTGTCCTATAGCGAGATCTTCTGAGCTCCATTTTATACATTCTGTGTTATCTCTGCTCCATAAAGTGAGGAAAAGGCCTTATAATCTTCATAGCTTTTCTTCTATTGCAGACATTAGACTTTCTTGGCCATTGTACTAGCCACTGGTATAAAACTGAACAAAAGTGAACATTTGCATGGGGCTTCAGAAAAGGATTTTAACATTTTCATTGAGCATGGTAGAGCATAAAGACAAATCTCCTTTCCCATTTTCCCCTGCTCTCTTGCCATAGGAATATTTTTCCACTAGACCCATCACTCTGTAAATGCTTAACACGCTTCAGCATCCTTGTTCATTAATGAAATCAAACACACATCAGTGAATCATACTATATTCATACATCTATAGCAAAGGTAAAAAGGAACCTGATTGCCAGTTCTTTTATGGTCTGGGAAAGGCACACTTCCTCGATGACACTGGAATGATTTTGACTCCTTTTTCTGGCAGCTGCCACAAAAGGAGCTTCTAGATTTCTGAGGATATTAGAGGCAATGTCCAAATCTGGTGCCATTCAATGTCACCCCATAGTGGCAACCAGGAAACAGGACATGGAAGACTTTTAAAGTACCTGTCTTCTAAAGATGAAGTCCAGCAAAAGAATATTCCTCACTTCTGATGTAGATATTGTTCAACTTTGGCTAAAGATGTGGACATTCAAGTAGTTTCAATTTTCAACAATAAATTTTCAAAAATATAATTTAATAGTTAGGTCATATGTGAAACTATGGGGGCACTCTCTAATTGCCCTGAATCCATTCTGAAATAGCATATGTGAGCTGATATTGCCTTATAATTTTTTGATATTTCAAATATTAGACTATGAAACCAGTTGGTCAAATCCCATGGTGAATCTGTTTGGCCTAAATGTTTATATAGAGTCTACAATGATACAAAGCAATCCCAATATTATAAAACACTTTATATTCTGATCAGTGAATCAGACAGAACTCTTAAAACCTTCATGTGTGTCTCTTCAGCAAGTGCAATGCATAGTTCCTAGAATTTACCAGAACACTGGAGAAACAGCTGAACTCTTGCACAAAATTTGTCATCTTGCAAAAGCTTAAGCTGTGACACCATGTCTGAGATAAAACAACTTCAGGGTTGCATTAAAAATATCATGTTGCTGAAGACACGTTAATTCTGAAACCATCCTTGCTGTGTTGTAGGGTTAGTGTAACTGCAGTTATGACACTGAGAGGAAATCTCATTCTTGTCAGAAGTTCCTCTTTGGAAAGTTTCAAACTGTAGATACAGTTCCCCAATGTGGCTAAAAGAATATTTATTTTTACTGGCTTAACTATTTATCATAATTTCATTTATTTATTTATTTATTTATTTATTTGCTTATTTTAGGAAGGGTTTTACTACGTAGCCCCAACTGGTCTGGTACTCACTATGCAGACCAGGCTGGCCTCCAACCCATAGAAATCCACCTGCTTCTGCCTCTCAAATACTGGTATTAAAGATGTGCACCACCATGTGTGACAGTTTTAGATATTTTCATATGTTGTTTTATTGAAAAATATTTATCAATAGCAAATATTTAAACAAGCCTACAAATGTTAACCTGATTGTAAAATATTTTCTCCTTATGAATATTTTTCTAGTTATCACAACTCCTTTACCACATCTCATTCTTTTAATTTTCTGTGATTATAGACTTGGAAATGGATAGTGGGCCCCATGTTCCTGTATGTCTGTGAGAGGTTGGTCCGGTTTTGGCGATCTCAACAGAAAGTGGTCATCACCAAGGTATTGAATGATTTAGAAATTGTTGTTATTGGTAGTGTCTAAGTACAGCATGGACAAGTCTCTCAAAGTTCTCTATATGGTTGGTCAGAGATGCCTTTTACCCAGATTCTTTATATTAAATTAAAAAAAGACATACTGTTTATTTTAATACATTCAGCTCAATGAAACGGATAGACCTTTAAAAGGGGGTAATAGAAGGTGCCACTTTCTATGATATTCTCCCTGACACTGTCTCTCTCTAGCCTCTCTCTTTCTCCTCTCCTCTTCCTTCCCCTCTCCCCTCAACCTTTCCTCTTCCCCCTTCTCTCCTCTTTCTCTCTCTGTCTCTGTCTCTCTGACTCTGTCTTTCTGACTCTGTCTCTCTGTCTCTCTATGTATTAATGAACCAAAATTTTTGTACTAAGAAAAGCAACCAGAATAGGTTGAAAGAGCTTTCTAGTTCTCACTTTTTCTTTTTTGTATAAATTATCCTAGAATATCAGAGCTAAAGTGACTGAAGTGTCAAGCCAATTCATAACTAAGCTACACTTTGTTTTGGTCTCTTAATGCCAGCTCTGGGGTGTTTTTTTTCTTCTCCATGAATTTGTATTTTATTTTTCCTTACAAAGGAAGGAGATAGTCATTTGGAGAAATAGATAGATGATAGATAGATAGATAGATAGATAGATAGATAGATAGATGATAAATAGATGATGATTAGGAAAAGTCCTTGTTGGAAATTTAGCAAACCCCCAACATGAATATTTTGTCACATAAAATTTAATTCAGTTCAAAAAATGTTTAATTCAGTTTAATTCATTTCAGAAAAGAATCTTCCAAAAGCCTATTATAGATTAGTTTTGCAAAACATAAAAATTCTCTCTGTCCTCCAGCCTATATTTTTATTTGACATTTATAGAGATTTGAGGCATAGTAAAGCTAGTCCTGCTGTCATTGGCTGTCTTACAATAGAGGAATACAAAACAATTCTCCTTGTATGGTATTTACACTGCATTATAAGAAAAATAGCAGAGATCAGCAAAAGCGCCTGCCATAAATTTCCCCTTCATAAATAAGATATTGAACTAGACAAATATTTCTCCTAAATATGTTTCTAAGGCAAATTTGTTTTCTTTCATTTTTTAAAAGCATAGGTAATTATTTTAACTTTTGTTACTTGGAAGATAAAAATATGAACTAGTGAAAATGACTTCATTTCCAGATAGACATATATCAAAGTTAGGAATTAGAAATCATTTTTTTCCATAGGCAAATTTGTTTTCTTGTAAAGAAAATAGATGTTCACTTTCTTCTCATGCAAATACAAGAAAAGGATGTCATCTGAAAATAGTCTAGTGATACTGCTGCCTACTAGTACATCTTATTTAGTTAAATTCTCTTTATGCCTGTAATAGAAAAATTTAAATATAAGAAAAATTGTTTCGTCGCATGAAATTACAACATGGTAAACAATTTTCAACATAATTTTCTCTGTTAAAAATGATGCTTTCCAACTCCTTATTTCGGAGTAGAGGAAGTTTATTGTAACCTTATATTATGCACATATAAATCACAATTTTAGAAACATTTAACAATTTCTTGGTGGTGCTAGGGATCAAACTTGGGCCTCACACATGGTAAGTATATATGTTACCATTTAGCTATCACCTTAATCAACAGTTTTTGTTAAAAACATTTCCCATTCTTTTACAATTCTTCATTCATGGAAATAAAAGGCTGTTAGTATCAGTGAACAGTGAAAAGCTGTTATTTCTAGATTACTTTCTTTCCTTTGATGTCCTTAGATGTCTTTAGTTGTACCTAAAATTCTTCTAGGTGTCTTAGGAATCTTCAAAGAAGCAGTATATTACATTTTTGTTTTTCTGGCTTTAGTTTGATTTCATTTTCATTTAATACTGAATTGTACCTACTTATAAGCTACAATGTAATATTCTGGTACATTATACTTGTGTAATGATCAATATTTTTGATCAGTAGCATATTTTCACCTCAAACATGTATGGTTTTTATTGTGATAAAAATACTCAAAGTCTTCTGGCAATTTTAAAATATACAACATACTGTTCTCCATATCAACCCCACTGTGCAAAAAGAACCCCAGAACAATCTAACTGTCTAACACCAGATTCTATCTAACTGTAACTATACCTATTAATCAATCTTGCCACCATCTCTCCCTCTACCTTACTCTCCTGAACTTGTGGTATCTACCATCTACACTCAATTTCTATGAGATTGGCTCTTTTAGATTCAGCATGTAAGTGAGATTATGGAAGATTGTATTCTCTTAAGGTGATACACACACACACACACACACACACACACACTCACACTCACATATAACCTACATTTTCTTTATCCATTCCTTATGGTTGTACATTTAGGTTGATTCCAGAACATGACTGTAGCAAGTAGTGCTGAAATAAACTTCGAAGTATAGATATCTTTTTGAAAATAGAGTTTTCTGTGTGTTCTTATCATGTTTCAGAAATATTTATTCACTTCCTAGATGATGAACATTTGCATCATTTGATTAACCTTCTATGATCATTTTTGTATATGGAGAATGAATATAGTACCTTACTTAGGGAAAGAATGGATGGTCTCCTCCCTAAGGAGAAATGTAGAAGAACAGACAGATAGTTATTTGCTGTGGGGGAGTTGCTATATAATTAACCAGTGAGAGTTCCATCTTCTATTCATTTGTCAATGTCTTCTCTCATGCCTTGGGGAGACAGGAAGAACAAACAGGGAACTGTATTGTTTTGTTTTTTAAAATCATTTTTTAACATCTAAGAGGAAAAAAATAAGTATAGACTGATAACTTGGATTTACTGCTAAAGACTATGAAACAGAGAACTGTATACACAAGGCTTAGTAGGAGTTTTCAGGGACTGACCTCGCAGAGAAAGTAAGATTGGTTGTGGCATGTGCTATCAGCTTGCCTATGATCCCAGCAGTTGGGGGGCTGAGACAGGAGATCATGAGTTCAAGGTCAGCCTGGGCCTTGATATGTATATCAAATTCCAAGCTAGCATGGTCTACATACAGAATTCATTCATGTCTCAAAACAAACAAAATCATGAAGAAAGGTAGGATGAGGAAGAGGGAAGACGGATCTGGTACAAAATCTGGTTACAGATTTAGCTTTACCTGATCTTGCAAAGGAGTTCTGGAGCTTTCTCAGATTAGAGACAGAATGAGGACTTGATGTCCATTCCTCGGTCCATCTTTGGCTGTGGGCTAAAATTGCAGACACATCCCAAAGACACACACATCTATTGAAGGGCCTTCTTTATGGTCCTGAAATAAGAAACAGGTGGCAAATCTTAGCTCGATATTTTATCCATATGGACACTGAAAGGCAAATGTTTGGGAGAAATTGCATTTCCAGAGTCATGTTTTATTCCATAGGTGGTCACTCACCCTTTTAAAACTATTGAGCTGCAGATGAAGAAGAAGGGATTCAAGATGGAGGTGGGACAGTACATTTTTGTCAAGTGCCCCCAGGTTTCCAAGCTGGAGTGGCATCCTTTCACACTGACCTCCGCCCCTGAAGAAGACTTCTTTAGTATCCATATCCGCATCGTGGGAGACTGGACAGAAGGACTATTCAATGCCTGTGGCTGTGATAAGCAAGAGTTTCAAGAGGCCTGGAAACTACCAAAGTGAGTACAAAGCACCTATTGCAAATATATGAGTTTAGGAGAGACAGTGCTAAATACATGCTATTCCCCATTTATCTCCTAAATAACAAAACACAGTGCTTCTAAGAATGCAGTTATGTTTCTCTACATTTCCCATTATGTGTATGTGGTCTGTCCACACATATTTTTAATGTCTTAACTGAAATATAAAACATTGAGATCAAATACTATTAATCAATCCTCCAAAATTTCTTTAAATATTTAGGGATCAAGGCCAAGTTACATTAACTTTTCTAACAAATGAAATCATAGCTACTGAAGATATTCTTGAATTTTAATAACATTACTTTGAAAGTAATGCCACATCTTATTTGCTTTGCATTCTTCTTACATGCCTATCATAGTATCAAAGACTTAGAAGAAGCTGAATAAAGGTTTTTTGAATAGTTTAATGAATGAAAAAAAAAGAAAAGTGATGCTCTGAAATCAATACAATGTTATTATGTAGCAAAGATCACTTGAATATGCACTATAAGTAGGAATTTCAAATGTAGATTGCCCTGCCCGGCATGGGGCCCACACCTGTATCCTAGCACTTGGGAAATGGAGGACAATGAGAAATTGAAGGTCACCCCTTTCTACATAGCAAGAGCAAGTTTTAAGTCTTCCCGGGCTACCTACATTTAATAAAAAGGATTTGGAAATAGAGATGGCTCAGTGGGAAAGAGAACTTGCCATGCAAATCTGATGACCTGAGTTTGATCCTTGGATCCCTAGATCCCATAGTTAAAGGAGAAAAACAACTCCCAAAGGTTGTTCTCTGATCTCCACACGTGTCCCCCTTGTGTATCTCACACACACCCATGCACACATAAAATAGTAATAACAAAAACAAATAAAACAAAAAAACAAATATAGTTTGCTTTAACAAGATGCAGAAGGGTCTGTGTGTATGCTATACTTCCATGCCTACATGGGTGCACACATGCATGTGCCTGTGCATGTATGTGTATGTGTGTTTGTGTGTGTGTATGTGGTATGAAGCAGGAAAAGAAAAATGAGGGAAAATTTTAAATGTCCATGATGAATTAACAAATGTTTTTACGTAGTGAATCATTCATATTTTTACTTCCAGCCCAAATGTTGGCATGAAATCACTTACATGGAGCCATCATTTTATAGCAGAAAGTGTCGCATGGATGCATTGTCTCAGAATCCACACAGTACACATCTCCAACAACAATAGACATTCTTCCTATTTACTGTGAGGAACAAGATGTGCCTATAACTGTCTTTTCCGCATTTCCATTCAGGATAGCAGTTGATGGTCCCTTTGGTACAGCCAGTGAAGATGTGTTCAGCTATGAGGTGGTGATGCTGGTGGGAGCAGGGATTGGGGTCACGCCTTTTGCCTCCATTCTCAAGTCTGTCTGGTACAAATACTGCAATAATGCTACTAATCTGAAGCTCAAAAAGGTAAGCTATTCTTATTTACTGGAGGTTCTAGAGTTATCATCACTGTTTGAAAAGCGAGACTGACAGGCCCCAAAGGAAGTTAAGACAAAATATGAGAAATTTTGGAGAGGACAGCTTCTCTTCAGAGAATTATCAGATTAGTTAAATGTGCTCCTATATAAGCAGAACTATTAATAAAACTAATATGCTATGTTTATATGGAAATATTGAAAATTCATCAGCCCAACAGTTATACTTTTTATATGCAAATGTATGAGAACACACATGTGACATATGTGTGCACACACATACACACATATGCAGTGCTGAAGATAGAAGCCAAAGCCTCATGTGTGTTAAGCAAGTTCTATAGTACTAAACTACATCCTCACACCCTTATATATTCTTTTCTAGATTTTTCCCCTGCAACCTTAAATATTTTTAGAACGTTATAAACACTGAATATGTATAACTTTACACTTTGTTTTTCATAGTTTTCAAATTAAAATAATTTTACACTGTCATGAATACAACCAGTGACCTTGCACCTGCTATGCCACTGAGATGCATGTCCTAATCTGATTTCCCTATATTTAAAATATGTTGGCTTATATTAATTTCCTATATTGATGTGTTTCATAAGTATATTTTCATTCAAGTACATCACATACTGTGATCATTGATGGATTCACCCACTGTATGCTTCCTTTTCTCCCCATTTCCCCTGATTCCATCCTTCCTGCTACCTAGATTTTACCATCATGCCATATTCATATAATCATATGTGTTTATTTTTAATCTACAATCCATAAAAGAGATAAAACTTGTGATATTGTCTTTCTGGATCTGAGTTATTTCAGCTAATATGATAATCTCTAATTATATTCATTTTTCTGCAACCACTTAACCTTATAAATAAGAAAATGAAAATGCTTTACAACAACAGCAGGCTTCATAATGATGTTTTTCTGTTTGTTTATTTAAATTTTTTTGAGAATTTCATACATGAGTAGTTTATTTGAATCCTTCCAGTACCCATCTGACTCCTCCATGGTGGGGGTGGGGGGGAGAAGGAGCGTGAGAGAATGGGATATAGGAGACCGGTATTATCAAGGGTAAAATAAGAAAATAGGGGAGATACTTTAAATGGAGAGGGAGGAGGGAGTGCTATATAGGAGGAGAGAAAGGAGAGATAAATAATGCTTAGGTGGTGTGAAAAGGCAAAGGGAAATGTAGTACGTAATAAACATATTGAAAAACATAAATATAATACAAACAAGAGTGTACGTGGATAGCAGAAGGCTACATAACAAAAATTATAGTGTCAGCCAAGGGAACCCTCCCTTTAGCTTATTGGTCAGGGTAGCTCATGAGACTCCCCAGATAATACACACTATTGCCACAGCTCTTGATTGCTTCCCAGAACTTGAAGTTAAGTCTCTATTGCTGAAGGTAGAACATACTTCGGACACAGGACTTGGAACAATCAAGCTGGAACTGACCTAGAAGCTTCCTCCCTGAAGACTAGCTCCCATGGTGTAGAAAGATACTATGCAAGCTGCCAAGGGGGAAAGCCAGCAGTGGTGCTACCCAGCTGTAAAGGCTAATAACTACAACAATGTCTGCTATAGCAAACTATCACTATTGGTAGAGGGGTGGCACTTTTATCTTGGGAGTAATCAACAAGTGTCTAATTGAACCTAAGGTCCACTCAACAGGAGGGAATTCATGCATAGTACTGTAAGCATAACCAAGGATACATGAGTGGAGAGGTCACGGAGAAGCACCTAAGTCTGTCACTTCTTGAAACCAACATAATGATGGTTTTTAATATTTCCTTCATATCCCATTGAAAAGGTGAAGAATACATTTTCTCTTCATTATTGGAGATTTAGCCCAGGACCTTACACATGCTAGGTATGTCATCCTCCACTGATCCACGTCCCTAGCCTCAGTTTACTTTTTTTATTTTGCGACAGATAATCTCTAAGTTTCCCAGACATGCCTTGATTTAATGTGAAGCCCAAACAGACCTTACTTCTGTGCTTCTTCTTCCCCAGCTCCCTAAATAACTGGGATTATAGGGCTGAATAGCTTGGATTACAGGCCCGCACCAGCAATCCCAACTGAAACTAATTTTTCTATTGCCCTGTATTATATATGGTGTTGACTCTAGATTAAGCACTTCAGTACTTTCTGTGTCTGAAGAGGGCAGGAGAGATGGAACTTTTTATCAGCTTATGGATGTCTCCTAGGGATAAATTCCCAGGGAATTATTACTTGTAAATTACCTGATGAAAGATTTCTCCTAAATCTCAAATCATTCTAGCAACAATTGAGATCAATTCTAATAGGGACATTGAGCCTACCTAGACTTTTCATTTTTCCCCTTTACTTCTTTTGTGTGTGGAGGAGATAAGAGTCGAACTAATTTTTCTCTAAGAATTTAAGAAGGTGTGGCAGTTGCAGGCAGGGAAGACTTCCTGCAGTAGCCATTGTGTACATTCCTTTGGCATTTTTGGAACAAAGGAAGTCAAGGATTCTGGGAAAGAAACAGCAGCCCCCAGAGGGAAAATGGAAGGCCAGCAGGGGAAGAGAGCTGTGCACTTTTTTTGGTCTATTTTTGAGACAGGGTCTCCCTGTATCCCTAGCTGGCCTGGAACTCACTATGTAGACCAGGCTGGCGTTGAACTCACAGAGATCCACCTGCCCCTGCTTCCCGAGTGCTGGGACTAAAGGTGTGCGCCACCATGCCCGGGTGAGCTGTGTATTTTTTAACACTAAACTATTTCTTTATTGACCTGCCTATATGAAGACCAGAGCAGGTTTATGTGAAGTAGCCTTTAGCGTATCTAGGATATGGTAATACATAACTACAATTCTAACATTTGGGAGGCAGAGACGGGAAGATACTGAGATTGGGACTAATGTAGGCCACATCACAAGACTGTGTCTTAAAAAAATAACAAACGCGTCCTGAGCTCTCTGAAAACCCGTTTCAAAACATTTTGAGCATCTGGAAGATGTTTAGAATGGTGTAAATCCATTCATTAATGCTGATATAACCATCCCAATATAACCTACTCCGTGGCCCATCCCTTTTCAGATTTATTTCTACTGGCTGTGCCGGGACACACATGCCTTTGAGTGGTTTGCAGACCTGCTACAGCTTCTGGAGACCCAGATGCAAGAGAGGAACAATGCTGACTTCCTCAGCTACAACATCCACCTCACTGGCTGGGATGAGTCTCAGGTGAGGACTAGGATCCTGATCTCAGATCCTTCCCATAGGGTCCAGCTCTTGCTGACTTCTCTTTGCATATTGGCATGTTCCATGTACTATTTTCTTCCAAGAGTGCTTAATATATTCAAGTGATTCAGCTTACTCATACTCCATATCACAAAATATTCGGGCTCTTGGGACTAGATTCCAAGATAAGGGACCTACGAGAGAATAAAGATTGTGAATTTGACATTAGAACAGTGCCACTACCAAGGATCTGGGATCTCAAAGCAGATGAACCAGACTTATCAGAGGGTAATAGGGAGAAAATACTCTCTTTCTTTCTGTCTCTCTTATAATCTTTTCCTCACAGTACATTAACTTTTGTGTTATGTGTGGTTTATGATATATTTAATATATTTATATACAGTCAGCTCTCCATATCCTTGGGATTTGCATCTGTAGATTGTGAAAAGAATTATATAGTAAACAGTCTTTTTTTCTAGTAGTTCTTCCCTAAACAATTGACTAGTTACATAATATAAACTAGTAACTAATTACATAGGATTTTTGTCATATGAGGTATCATAAAATAATCTAGGGATGATTTAAGTATGCAAGAAGATTATAGATTCTATGCAAATACTAAGCCATTTTATAAAAGGGACTTGAGCATTTGTGGATTTTGGTATCCAAGGGTGGGGCTCCTATAACATCCTTTGCAGACACTGAGTTATGTGTCATTCACTGAATTACATAACATTCATTGTTTCTGCTGTTTGGACAGATTGTCTCATTCTGTGCTCTCAACAACCTTCTTAAGTAACTACAATTACTATCTACATTTTACTGATAAAAAAAAGAAAGCTTAGAACTGATTGGATCATTTCACCTAAAGGTACCTAGCAAGTAAGTTGCCGAGTCAGAATGTTCTAGAGCCTTCACTGAGCAACTTCTAATGTTTTATGATTAGTAGTAGTAAACAAATCAACATATATCTAATGTAAGTGAGATACACATATATAATATATGTGCATATATGTGTATGGGTGTGTATCTTGAAAAATATTTGTAGAGCTCATAGAACACTATAATAAAAATGTCAGTTTCTTCAACTGAAAGCAGTATTGCCTCCCAGAAGGTATAGTGGGCAATATAAACATCTTACAATTCACAAAGTTAAGAAATACTGTATGGAGACTCTTTCAATCCTGTAATGGTTATTTCTAGACAACTTGCCATGGCTTAGACTCATTTGGGAAGATAGTTTCAATTGAGGAAGTGTTTAGATCTGGTTGGCCTGTAGGGATATCTGTGGGAGATTGTCTTGATTATTAATTGATGTGAGAAGACTCAGCCCATTGTCGGTAGCACCATTCCATGGGCAGTGGGTCCTTAACTATATAGGACAAGAGAAAACTAGATGGAAGCAGAACACAAGCAGTATGGGTATCTTTGTTATTCTCCGTGCTTGACTGTGAATGTGACTGTGTCAAGTAACTGCTGCTGTTACCTCCCCATAATGATGGACTGCAATCCTGAGTTAGTCAAATAATCCCTTTCTCCCCTGTGGATTTTGTCATAGTATTTTGTCACAGCAACAGGAAAGAAAACTAGAACAGGCTTCTTGTAGTTTTTATTGAAATAATATGCATTTGCCTTCCTTCTAAGTTGATATGGCCTTGGGCACAAAAGCAGCACCTAACCTTCTTGAGTCAACCAAGAAGAAAATAGTTAACCTTACTATTATTTGGTTTAGCATTACAGTTGGCTAAGAGCTGCTTGTGTGGCCTAAAAGGATGTGTCCAAGATAAGAAGGAATAATAACTAACTACATTCATTATCATCAGTTTACATTTTAGTTTTATTATTTTTGTACCTGAGAGGAAGAATTAATTGTGTTTGCTGTCATTGGTTTCCCTTTGGCTCCATGGCCTGTTTAAATCCCCTGCCATTGGTTCATCTTAAACCTTGCCAATAGTTAGAAGAACCCATGGAAGGTCAGCATTTGAAAATGAGTTACAAGCAGCTTGGTGGTTTCCCAACATAGCACTTGAAATCTGCCTCCTTTAGAAAAAATTAAGCCCCTGCTTACCCTAACTGGCCCAGCAGTAAAGGTCTGTAAGTACGTGCCTCTAGGGCAAGAGTGTTTAGTGTGTATAGACACCATATCTCATTAAGAGGATATTTATTCCTCTCATTTTCTCATTTCATCCTTGTTTGTATTATATTTCCTTTTTTACCTTTTGAGTTTAAAGTTTAATGCTGATCTTAGTTAGTTTGTAAAATAGGATTTTCTCTTTAACACAGGAGACACTTTTCCTCAAACAGAGTCCCCCCTCTCTAGGACTGAACATCAAGACACCTGCTGTCTATTTTTTAAAGGAAGTTACTACCAACCATTTGTCTCATAAGAAACTGACACAAATAGTGTCTGGAGAGCAGATGGGTACAGAGGGCCTTTTCATTTCCTTTCTTCCTAACTAGCATCTCCTATCGTGATCACAATCCTCATCATAATCATATGTGTATATATATATATGTATGTGTATATATATATATATGTATATATAATAAGTGGTAAGAGCAGGATTTATGAAATGTGTAAGTATAGCTGCATGTGTCATACACTTTGTTTGCTCTTTCTGAATTCATGTCTTTTGCTATAGGCCAATCACTTTGCTGTGCACCATGATGAGGAAAAAGATGTGATCACCGGCCTAAAACAAAAGACTTTGTACGGGCGGCCTAACTGGGATAATGAGTTCAAGACAATTGCGAGTCAACACCCTAAGTAAGGAATCCTCCACACAAGTGTCTTTAAAGCTGGTGGTCTGCTTAAAGCAGCAACCCCTGAGCACTGGCTGTACTTTATAGTTCAAAAATTGATACTTCCATGCTACAGTAATAGGGACAAATTCTTATTCAATAGAAGAGTTCTGGTGTCTCTGACTTTAAGAAGGAATTTTTAGATTGTAGCCAAATTACCTAGAAAGTTATGATAACGTTTTCACTTCCCTGCCTTGGGTTATCTTAATCTAGCCCAAGCTGTACCATAGCATGTTTTTATATTTAGTTGCTTAGATTTCACTACTGTATTTACTTATTTTAAATAATGAGTACAGTTTATATTTATTATTAAGAATATTCTCTTCACTTTCAGTTGCAGTATCTGAGTCTAAAATCACAAATTCACAGATGTCTCAAAGAATTTACCTGAGGAAATTCCTATATCTTGCAGATCTTGTGCAAAACGTATCATAAATATATCCATTAGAACAGGTGTGTCAAAATCTTTGACTTGACATTGCAACATGACCTCGTGGTCTACAAATCTGTTGGGCCATATTCATAGCTATTCTGAGGTACATTTGGCCCATTGACCATGCTTGCTTTTAGTGTATTTCCTTTATATTTTAATGAGCATCCAAATATCCCTGCTGTGTTTTGAAATGAAGATTCTGATTTACTAGCTCTGAGGTGGGACCCAGGATCATGTATTCTTAAAAAAAAAAAAAAAAAAAAAAGAGTATGTTTTTTAAGGACTGGGCATAGTGGGTTGCACCTTTAATCCCAGAACTTAGAAGGAAGAGGCAGGCAGATCTCTGTGAAATCAAGTCCAGCCTGGTGTACATATAATGAGTTCCAGGCCGGCTGGGGCTACAGGAGACCCTGTCTCAAAAACAAGCAAATAAAACGAAAGCAAAACAAAACACAAAACATGTTCCTTTTTAAATGGTATGGAACCACACTTTGAAAAGCAAGGATTTCAACTAAAGACTTCAAGGAATGAAGCTGTTGTTAAAGCTTGGGTACTTAATGGGGGTTTTTACTGATTTCACAATACCAGAAAGGGTTTAGAGGTCTAGAGCCCTAAAGGGAAGTATATTATAGCTTCACACATTAACCATGCTTTTCTTTGTGATAGAAATTTCCAAAAAATTCTCATTGGATTTCATTTTCTGAGGATGTCACCTTTGAAACTGTCCAACTGTTCTCACAATTAGACCTAATCCACTCCTACAGAATAGTCAGAACATTTCTGTCATTAGTAGAAAAAATGAAGGATAAGAGGAATCTCTAATTAATAGGAAATTTCCCCACATACTTTGTTATCTAACTCCTCCCAAATCCTGAAACTTTCTTTTCTTTTTCAAAAGCACCAGAATAGGAGTTTTTCTCTGTGGTCCTGAAGCCTTGGCCAAAACCCTCAGTAAACAGAGCATCTCCAACTCTGAGTCTGGCCCTCGTGGAGTGCACTTCGTTTTCAACAAGGAAAACTTCTAACTCAGAACCTCCAAGAAAAAAAAAATATGGATGATACTGCGAAATTCCCAAATACTGATGGATGATTGTATGAGTCCCTTCCTCTGAAGAAAGGAGGAGAAAGGGAAAGTATAATGTCCTGGTTCTCCAAAAGGAAAGCCACAGATTGTTTGTTAGTGATAGATTACATTTGAATAGAACTTTATGGTTTTCAGAGTACTTTTACAATCATTACTTTTTTTGTTATTTCATTTTCCCCTCTGCAATGCCAGAAGAATGTAGGGCAAGGATTTGCTAGGACTCATTTTAGGATAAACAATAGGGGCTCAAAAAGGTTCAAAACCTTTAAGATTACAAAGCTGAAATCAGATCTAAGCCATTTGACTCCAACTTCGGTAGCCTTTTTCACAATACCAGGCTGCCTAAGAAACCAGTTTTTATATTCCACCCAAAGGAAGCAAAAAGGAGTAGCTCCTCACTTTCCTTTTTTATGTCATCTTTAACATTAGCATCATGCTGAAGAAGATTTTCCTTTGTTAGGAAAAAACATGCTGATAGTCACTTAATACTTGCTAGTGATAGTACTGACACAGTACTTAGTATATTACAGTTTGCCAACACAGCAGCCTAACAAAGTCAGAGATTCTCCCTTCTTAGGAATACCAATTGAAATTAGTGTAGCGCTCTGCATTTAGCATGGTAGTTGGGAGAGTGAATCTTCAAAGTCAGTTTGAGGAATGAATGAATGAATGAATGAACAAATGAATGAGAATATTTGAACTATACCCTGTCAGAGTGGAATTAATTTAAGGCCTTAAACAAAATTACCCAAGGAAATACCCTTTGTTACTCTTATACACCACAGGATACTGATTCCTTTGAGGGTAGAAAGTAGGATATGAAACAGTAGAATGACCTGGAGGGTTCATCCCATTCTTATTTAGAGGAAGGAGGAATGAAGACAGAGACTTGACATCCTGCCATACTGTTGAGTGACTCCTCTCATTCTAGTGCCTATGCTGGGAAAGAAGAACATATTTATTTACTGCCAGAAATGGTCTGATCCAGCCAAACCTTTGAATTTTAAACTTTAAAATTCTAGCAACTATGTGTCCAACAATATGTGTCTCGCTGAGTCCATTCCTTCTTTTAATTAAATGCCCACACAATGGATCTTATGTGCGTAGATAATAGCTTATTTTTATCATTGCATCTTTCCCAACACCATTACTACCATCATCTTCTTCTTGGAATATAAAACCTAGAAACTAAAATGCTCAAATAATGGGGTAGATAGTGAAATCAGATCCAGTAGAATTCTTTGAATATCTGTAAGTGAAAGAGTCTAAATCATTGCTCGTTCAGCCACAAGTTCTTCTTTTAAAGAGCTGCTCCCATTTCTGGAAACTAAAAACACTTTTATTCGCCACACCCCCTAGGGATATAAATGTTTAGAAGCATTCAGCTTTGGTAACGAGCAAGAAAGAGAGCAGAGTGGAGGGCAGAAGCCTTGCCAGAGAAAACAGGAAGGGAGGTGGGGAAGACAACAGGAGAGCGAGAAAAAGCAAAACACTCAAAAGGGCAAAAGCAGAGGAAGAGAGGCCCATGGTGATCACCTTTAACCCTGGATTTTTCTGTTTTTGTATGTGTTCCATGTAAATGAAGGAGGTATACACAGACTCATCTTGTTTTTACCTCACATAGTACTAAATATTTTAAATTCTGGTCACAAATGTTGATGTTGACTGGGCATACTGAAGGGACTGAGATGAGTGAACTCAGACATTCCCTATATATTACTGTCTTTCTTCTCCTGGGATCCTCAGAGCACTGAGGGCTGTTCCTGACAAATAAGACCTTCCTTCCTAGATGCATACATGTCACCTCTCAGAAATCTATAGGAACAATTGCTCTTGGAGAAGGTCCAGCCTCTTCATGTTGCACACTAAGTATTAGTTCATTCATCCAACATTCATTGATTGTTCCATTAACATGATTCAGATAGTATGTGTAGTAGCTTTATTTTGAAACAGAATCTCCCTGTAGTCCTAGCTGCCCTGGAATTCACTATATATACCAGGATGGCTTTGATCTCACAAACACCTGCCTGCCTTTGCCTCTGGAGGGCTGGGACTAAAGGTGTGGCCTACGAAGTCTGGCCTTTGTGTAGTTTTAACTCTTTGCACCAAAGTATGAGCTGCAGGGTGCAGGGAGCCCTCAGGTATGTGGAGCCTGAACATGCTGGCCCCTCCTAACATAGGTGGCATTAAGAAAAGGCAGCTCTGTTGCTCCAAGAATGATTCTCCAAGGTTTTCTACATCAGTATACCAATATAGTCACCAAAAATAGAGTTCTACTCTGTGTTATTCTGGATATGAGGTGGAAAATGTGAGTAACCACGTTTGCCGCTTAAGAGCTTCCTTCTTTTTTTCCTCCCAAGCCCCAGCCCCCAACTATCAGCTGCCAGCTGCCAGAGCAGCTCTTTTAGCATTTAGTATTTAGAATTTGCTTTTAATATGAAGGCTAAAAATATTTTTCTATGGTCTGCTTTTGCAATACTGTGTTTATGAAATTTGAATACTTGCAGCCATTATGTATGAATAGTTTTGGGGAGAAGATGATCTGATGATAACTTTTAGAACAAACTATTAAAATTGTGCTTAAAAATAAAATCAGTGAGCTCTCTCTGTGTCTTTGTATTGATCTTGGTACTAAGGGGTGTTAGAAAATGTTAGATGGGGATTGACCAGGGCAACGAAAAATGAAAGATGTAAGGCCTGATAGATGAAGAACCTGATGGCTCAATAGGGTTGATCGAGAGAAAGCACCAGGACACAGATAAAACTCCACTGGAATAGAGTTTTATTTTGCACAGACAAGTTCACTTTGGGGGAGGGAAAAAGTCCACCCACGGGTTGTGAGCAGGGGTCTTTTATAGGGGGAGGCTTCAGAGGGTGCAGAAGGCAGGAAGATATTTTTTAAAGGTTGTGGGGAAGCAGGAGAGCCAGACTGTTAAAACATGACCCCTTTTGAGGTCAAAGGGGAAGCCTGCTGTGCTGACCAAAATGTGGAGAATAGTTTGCTTTTGACTTCAAAGACTAGGGTTCTTATCTCAGGGGCTTGTAGAAAACATGAGGCCCTGTAGGTGAGGGGGTAGGGCTGCTGTGAATCTGAACCCTAACATTCCAGCCTTTTGTGTTATAGGATGGGGGCGCCATTGTCATCTTGCTACTTCCTGCTGGACAAGGTTGATGTGGGAGGGGGGCTGGATTGGGGTTGATCAGACAGCAGGGGTTCCCTCTTCATGCATCTCAACAGCATTCTCGATGGTTGACAGGTACTCATATACATGTGGAGGGAAGGAAAGTAACAACAGATTAACATTAGTACGAGAGTAAGAGTTAGTTTTTGGATTTTCGTCCTGAAAATATCTGAAGAGGCAAGGAACAATGGTTAGCACTAAGGTAATAGCTCTTTTTTTCATCCTTCTGCCAAGGCTTGACTCAGTGATTGACTCAGGATTTGTTTTCAGGCATTTTGATAGCTGTTGGAGTGGCTAGAATCAGTGTCAGTTACCTCTCAAAGGCTTCTAGATAGGGAGAGAAAACAAATTTAGCAATCATTTAATTTTTTCAGACTAGAACAATAGTGGGTTGTCTCCCTTAGCTGTAGATGGGCACTACAGTATTGTTGACCAAGATTTGAAGCCTTACATCTGAGTAGCATTGTCTTATTAGCAACAAAATCATCAATGAGAGATAATTGTCTAAATAACATAAGAACTTAAGTCTAATGTCTGGGTTGTATAATCCCTTGAACTCTTAAAATATACTGATGACTTTAATTTTTGGTTATACTTTCCTTTTGGGTGTTTAAGACCATACTGTGGTCCAAATGAATCAATTTATTTTTACTCTTAAGGTTGTATGAGGATTTGGTCCTCAGGGGTCACATGGGCTTGGGGGAGCCCCTGGCTCCTCAGGCTTTTCTTTTACCAGTTCCATCTATGTAAAGATAAGTCAAGAGGTCCTTCTTGACCTGGGCTTCACTTGGAAGCATGGAGGAAATGTTTCCTTTGTTTTGACCCTCTTCTTTGCAGACTGGACACTGGTTCAAGTCCATCTTCTGGAGTCTCCATGTCCTCCCTGAACAAGAGGACAGGTGACTCAGTTACAGGACATTTCAAGAGATGTTGCATAACCCCCTGGAAATTGTTTGACCTTGGAGGGCAAGGAACAAAATGTATTCCTCTAAGTCCCTCTGACCAGATTAATATAGGCCTTAAAGTTTGGCTACTAAACATCCAGCAAGGTTAGTTATACCAGTCTGGTACTTTTAATTACCAAGTGCTATGTACTAGTTGACTAAGCTATGACTTTAGATATTTTAAGATTATCTATATATTATCTTTGTCTCATTTCAAATTTATAGAAATGTAGTGGGTAGGTGTAGTGAGGAATGGCTGAGGTGGGGTTTAGAGGGAAGAATAGACATAGGGTCAGTAGAAAACTCATTCCTGGATTGGTGTTAAGGGCGGGGTCCTCGAGATTTTTAATTTAAGAGACCCAATACTGGTGGCCTGGTACTTGCTGTGTTTCTTGACCAGTTTTAATTTGGAGAGATTAATTCAACCAGGTTGTACTGAGAGCTTGGCTGCTGTTGGGATAGACAGGATCACCAGGTGAGGACCAACGTGGCAGGAGGGTTTCCTTCACTCCTTTCTGTTGGGTGTGAACCCACAGGTAGGTGTGATCTCCAGGTTGAAGTGGGTGGACAATTTGTCATTTAGAAGCCTGGGGAATAATCTGGTCAGCATGTTCCCTGAGTAGTTTCCTTAGAAGGGCAAAGGAAAGTAAATAGTCATGTACAGGGGAGGTATGTTGGAGGAAGAGATCATCCTTGGCTAAAATTAGGGGCCTGGTGAGTATCACAAGTTTGGCTTTTTGTGACATGGTTCCAAGTAGTAGGGGTCCTGATTCAATGATATCTGTGAGAGACACTATGGCATATCCCACCCCGTGGGACCACATTGGGATGAGCGTTCTATCCACAAACCAAGTCAGGGTTGGGTTTGGTAGGGGATGTGGGAAATTACGGCATCCCGGTAAGAGAGTTCCTGAAGAGTTTCCAAGCATGAGTGAGTGAGCAGTTCGCTGGAAGGGAGGAGGGAAGCTGGATTGAGAGGAGGGCAGGAATCAAGGGAGAGAAAGGAGTTTTCAAGAAATATGACATGGAAGAGTTGTAGTTTAGAGGGAGCTAGATTGGCAAAAGAAGTGTGGATTAGTAAATCCTTAAGCTGGTGGTGTTGGGGGGGGGAGGATGGAGATGGGCTGACCCAAAATAAGCTTAAGTCCCTCCTGAGTCAGGAGAGAGCCAGCAGCCAGAGCACGGAGACAAGGTGGCCAGTCCTGGATGGTGGTATTGTTTAGAGAGATAGGTTACCAGGGCAAAAGTGGGACCCTTCATCTGTCCCAAAACCCCTAATGCCTGGCCCTTATTCTCAGTTGTGTAGAGGAGGAATGGACATTCCAGGTTCGGGAGAGCCAGAGCAAGTGCCTTTAAGAGCACTTTCTGGCTAGTGTGGAATGCTGCTGTGTTAATAACAGGCCATAAGGGGTCAACAGGCTCAGGGGAGTTCCCTTTAGAGGCCTCAGTAGGGGTTTGCCAAGAGGGCAAAGTTAGGGATCCAGGTGTGCAGGTACCCTGCAATGCCTAGGAAAGACAGAATTTCCTCCTTGGTTGTAGGGGGCTTTATAGACCTTAGGTAATTTGTATTATCTATAGTTAAATGGTGGGATGTAGGTGTGAGAAGGAACCCCAAGTACTCAAGGGAGAGAAAGCTGTGCATTAGCTGAAGATACCCTATATCCCTTGTCCCCCAGAAAATTAAGGAGTTTGATTGTATGAGCATTGGAGACTGAGAAAGATGGAGAGCAAAGAAGTAGGTCATCTAAATATTGCAGGATGGTGGAGGGGTTAAGGTCTAGGGAGGTTAAATCCCAGGCTAGGGCTTTTCCAAAGAGGTGAGGACTATCTTGAAACCCATGAGGCAGGACAGTCCAGGTTAAATCATAGGTGTGAGTGATGTATTTAAATTCTTGTATGAAGTGTGTAGGATTAGTAGAAAAAGAGCCTGTTTTGCATTTGAGCTGAGATAGCTCTCCAAGACAGAAAGAGACATGGACCTTGACCATCCCATCCATGCTTGTCACCTCCCAGAGGGGAAAGATACCATGGGTGTGGGAGCGAGTATGGCTTGACATAGGAGAGGGATTTGGAGAAGGGGAGTTTTGGGAGGAGGCCAGAGTGGGAGAGGTTGGAGGGGTGTCTTGTCCATGAGGGGACACAGGGGCAGGGGAATTGGAGGCAGGGTCTGGAATCGAAGTAGAAATAGAAGTAGAGACAGGAGGGATAAACAGGATATTTGAGCTAGAAGCCAGAATAGGGGAGAGTAGGGAATATTTAGCAAGGAGGTGTTTAAGGTTTTGGATTTCCTTGAGTAGAGGAGAGTCAGTGGAAGGAGAGCAGGTGACAGGCTTAGAGTGCCAGAGAGGGGAGGGGGAAGATCATGGAGAGGGAATTTGAGGTGGAGAAGGGAGGGGAGCCGGGTTGGGCCTTGGAATGGAAGGCAAGGGAGGGTATAGGGAGAGGAGACCATGTGCCTCAGGCTGGGGAGCAGGAGGATGTTGGGGCTGGGTCCTAATCAGAGGCAGTTCATCAGCTATGGTAGGATCAGAAGCTGAAGTGGAGGGGTAGGGAGGAGGGGGAGGGTCAGAGGCCCCTGGCAGGTTGGGATCCCATGAAACTGTGTTAGCCATAAAAACCTGATGGGAAGAACATGGGACACAGAGGGAGGGATTAACACAGAGATCAAAGGAAGCTTGGATGTATGGTAATTCAGACCATTTGCTATTACGATGGCAGAAATTTTCTAAATCTCTCAAAATATTGAAGTTTAAGGTTCTGGTGTCTGGCCAAACAGAGTCATTATCTAACTCATACTGAGGCCAGGCAGTGGTGCACAGGAACTTCAGGCATTTTGGCCTGATTGTATCTGAAAGTCCTAGTAATTTTAAGAATTTAGGAAGACAAACAAGAGGTCTGAGATCCTGAGACTTTGAGTGGAATTATGTACAGAGTGAAGAGGAGATAAAGAACTGAGCATGCAGGTAGGAGGTAGAGACAGAACCGAGCAGTGGGAAGATAAAGAAAATCCTCCCTCTATAGGGAGTGGATGCAAGATCACGAGTCCAGGCAGGAAAGTACAATGGACAAGGACAAGAGAGACAGGGTGAGAGTAGGAGGTGAAGGGGTTTGGCATCGGTCACAAAAAACAAGAACAAGAAGAACCAGGGACCAAAAAAGTGTCCTTTTCTTAGTATGGGTTCGAGCCATTATTTTTTAGTTATTTCCAAGTCCCAGAAATTGGTGTCCCACAGTGAGATCATCAGGGAAAGGAAAGGCAAGATCCTGTCCTGGACAGGAAGTAGTGAGTGTCCCTATCTCCAGAAATAGCATTCTATATCCAGAGAAAGGAAGGAGTTTTCTGACAAACCAGTGTGTTTTTGAGGCAAAGGAGATGAGCAGAAAACCCTGCAATGAGAGTGTGGCATGACCAGCTGGTAGATGGAGACAAAGTACAAGGAATAGGATGGGAGAAAAGTAGAAAAGAAACTGCAGTGAG